GTTATCTGTTCCATTGTGACAAGATGCAAGCTCAGACATCATCAATAGTTTTGGAACACAATTACTGGGTCCTCTATATGCTACCAACAATGAACACAACAGTACAAGTCGTATTTCCCCTTGGAGAAACAGGCCTTATAATGAGATTTGCTCTCTGTTAGAATGAAACACTAACTAGCACAGCCATGATAAGCATATCAGCATCAAAACCTAAATGATATCTATCTTGAGCAATAAATTACAGAGCTTTCTTTCTTCAGCTCCATGTATTTCCTACGGCCTTGGAGGACAAGGAGTCAAAAATAACAACCACAAGCAATGCACAGTGTAATGTAGTCTACATAAATGATTAGAGCAGCTGTAACTCAGTAACTTGTGCCAAATGAAGCTAGCTTGCAGTGTTCCAATAACTAAATTTTCAGAAGAGTGGTGATTTTGGATCTTTTTAATTAGTGTACTGGAGACTGGATTTTGGGGAGTCTTTCTTTGTCTTTTTTTTTTCCCTTTATTTTATTTTACATTGACTACTCTAAAGGAAGGTTCAGAATCTCATTGGCTCAACATGGCCAAAAAATCCTTATAGTTTGGATAGCTTTTAAATGGGGAGAAAACCGACAACTGGCTGTCAGATTTTTATTATGTTGCTATTTGCCACCTGTTGAATCCTTGTAATTGGAAAGAGAAGCATGACTTGCACAACAAAATAGGTATGTGCAAACAGACATATAGAGAGTCAGCTGAGTTATCTGAGGAAGAAATTACTTCTATGAACTGAGAAAATCCATGCGCTTAATACAAACTTAACCTAAACAAACACTGTTTGGAAATAACCCAGCAAAATAGAACATCAGTGCTGGTCAGTTGCTTTGCGTTGATGAAGTTTCACAGGTAGGCACACCATTTATATTTGCTACCAGGCATCCAATGCGGTTGCTTAGATAGATGCAGAATCAACAAGCTGCTCTGTTTGCCTAGCTACACAGAGACTCACAAGAGTGGTGGATAAGATAGGCTGATGCTGAGGCAGGAGCTCACAGTGACAAGATGCAGGGAAGGGAGTGGCAGCGTACAGGACAAGGCAGGGGTGAGGAGGAGGGAAGGTGCAATTAAGAATGTGGTGGAGGAAGATACCTTTCCAAGTCTGTTTCAGTTCTACCACCTTTGGGATGATGTTTGCATTCACACATTACCAGAAAGGTATTGGTGGAATCGTGTCAGATAGAAAAAAAGACTGTTGACTTGGACTTCAGCAGAAAAAGGACATCCATTGCTCCTTACAAGGATTACTTTTACCACCCCCTCAAAAAATATTCTTATTTTTTATATAAAGGAGAAAGGTCTTTCCATCCAGTCTGTGATGTGATTTCTTATTGATGAAAGAAAGTAATGCTGGTGTCATAGCAAATGTGACCAAGCATAACCAGAACACTGTGATTAATACCTTGAGCCATCAAACAGACAGAGGTTGTGGGATGAGAGGCTGGATAAGTGTCTTAGTTGCATCAGGTTATGGAGGAGGCCACAGCTTCAAAACCCTGTGGAGATATGAATAGTGGTTCTCTATGGTGTGAACAGTGTCTCTAGGAGAGTGATTGTCCTTTTGAGAAGATCTCAGGTAGACATGTCAGGCCATATCAAACTGGACCCAACCAATTAAATCTTCAGATCTTCAAATCCTTGTTTAATAGAAAAATGGTAGTTAATAAACTTTTCCTTCCCCTTTCCTCTTTTTTCTCTCCTTCCCAAAATAAAGAGTTGTGCTGATTTTCTTGAGCACAAGGTGGCAGGATTCAGCTTCACTTAAAAGCCAATGAAGGCTGAGTAGGGCTTCAAAGTGATGAAGTAAACACATTATTAGGAATGCAAAATCAGCCAGCATAAAGTAGCTAGATAAATCTGCAAATAGGTGGAATACTGGAAAGATTAAAATGTAAGCTAAAACACTTAGAGAGTACCTCGTGTTTGGAGGAAATTCAGAAAAGTGTTGTATGGAAGCCAGATTTTGTCATTCAGGGAAAAGATGTGGGATCTTATGTTAGAGAAGCAGGTACACCTCAGTGTAAGCCCAAAATATGCTGTCAAGTGGAGTTCACAAGCTTGCTCTGAGTCATGGTACAGAGTGGTATATGACCATAATTCTAGCTTGAACGCAAGAACACTTCATGTGAAAAGTTTCATGGGAATTGGGGTATTTTGCTAGAAAAAAAATGTTTCTGATAAGATCATAAGGTACCATGAACTGTCCAACCTCTCATTCTTGTAAGAGCTAAAAATTCTCAAACTGTAAGCAAAGTTTAAGCAGTTTATTCTGCACAATTTTGGTGAGACTAGTCTTTCGGTACACGTTCCTTTGGATGGGATAAGGTACCATTGCACACACAAATTATGTAGCCTTTACCTGGTCCCAGACTCCACCTAAATAAAAGTACTCTCACAAGGAGTCTTTGAGTTTTCAGCTCCTACCTCTTTTCCAGAAATACATGTTTAAATCTTTACAGATATTTACTATACTTCCTATGCTGTGACACATTCTTTATGTATGGTGTATGAGTTAGTTTCAAAACTTTTGAAGCAATCAAATGGTAAACTTTAGAACAGCAATTTCAAGCAAACAGTGAGTTTTTCAGCATCTTCAGGTTTTCCTTGTAATATAGTCAGATGAATGTTCTCCCATAACTTTATCTATGTCAGTAAAAAAAAATGGGCAAAGAAATGTGTATTGCAAACAAACAGATTTTCTGGGAAGTCATTGATTTACTCTCACCTAAGGCAAATCTCTTTACCAGCTTGGAAGAGGTTTACCTCATCTGCTCTGAGAAGGCTCTATTACTCAAGATTTGAGGGTTCTCTGAAGTGATCTATTTGCTGTTCTTAACTGTCCTTTTCAAAAGTTTTCATGATGTCAAACATGAATCTGCCTTGTTGTAAATCAAGTGTATTAATCCTTGTCCTATCCTATAGACAAAAAATATTACCTGTCCTTGTTACATATTTCAGGGCTGTTATTGAACTTTCTGTCAGACTTTCATGAACTGAAGAAAGTGAGTTCTTTCAATCTTGACTCAATTCATATTTTCTAACCCTCTGACCACACTCTATAACTTTGTAATATTTGTAACCCTTTGCTATAATTTTACCACCTTCAGGATGATATTTTGTCTTGTAGCATTATCAGAAAGCTACTTGTCTTTAGTGGTTTAGTTGTGGCTCTTCCTTAAATACTGATTCATATTGTGGCTCTTCCTTAAGTACTGATTAATAGGAAGTATTTGAGTATTTTATGTTCTTTTCTACTTTCTTGAATCTGTGAGAAAAATATGCACAGAAAACATAGAAATAAAACTTATCTATGTAGAAGTGAAGTCATGATTTACCACTGAACTTATTTGTACAGCCTTACCCTTTAGTAATTCTAGAATTTGAAGACTCAAAGCAGGAGCTGTGCCTGTAGAAAGGGCTGCTGTTTCCCCTACTAAGCCAGCAATGATATGTCTTGATGGAGCATTCCGTAGCTTTCACTTTAACAATTTTGGTCAAATGAAAATATGACAATTTCAGTTTGCTTCTTTCCACATTCTCCCCTCCCCTGTCAATTTTGGAAAAATACTAATTTTAGGGGGAAAATAGATTTTTAACAGTATTTGGCAATTTTACCATCATAGTTTCACACCTGATAATTTTTGGCATTGTCATATAGAAATCTATGCATCTCAAACCTTCTAAGACAGGATTACTGTACAGTTAGCAACACTCCTATAATAAATATTTTGAATTGCAGCAGAGAAACTGATGTTTACCACAACAGGTGATAATACCCTTTTCCAAGTGTAACCTCAAGCTTTATTTAACGCTGGTCTGCAACCTTACGAATATATATGATCTGGCCTACAGAACTTTACTCTTTTAACACTATTGAATTATCTAATTAGCCAATTTGATCCAACTGCATGGTTTTATCTAAAACTTCTTTGACAACTCCTCAATTTCACAGATTCACAGAAAACAGATGTTTGTGAAAGAATAATGTTCAGTATATGCTGATTAGTATATATGCTGATTCAGTATATATGATAAGACTAATGTGAGCTTGTTGTCATAGAATTGCTAGGACAGTTAAAAATTGCCCTAATGAGGTGATGTCCTTATGTTCCTCCAGGAGAGAGAGGGGAAAATAAAGCACATTTTCCAAAACTGTAAGAAGACTTGGCTGGAGAGCAATAATACGGGTGTTGCAGCTACTTACAGGTTTAAAAATTTTACTTCTACCCTGCATTAAGGCTCTTTCTCAAGGTCTTTTCTAATTTGAATAATACTGCAGTTTATGCTATTATTTTTTCTTTCTCTTTCTTTCAAATTCTTTAAAAAATCACCAACATTTTCCTCTAGAAAAATGCTACATGACATTTTAATTTTACTTGTTATCCTTCCATAAATATTTTGTTAAGAGAAATACTTTACTTCAAAGTGCTGAACTTCATAGGGAGGCAGTATATTCTGAGTATCTATACAACAATTTTACTTATCTTCAGAACTTTGGTTTAAAAGTATCATGACTGACAATACTTTTGATTATGGCTTTTTGTACTGTCTGCATTTGTTGCTTTATGGGGAGGTGTATTATTTCTGTATAGAGTGTTTCAGCTAGCTATGGCTATGACTTTCTTATTAGGATGTTCTTTTAAAGCAAAATCTACACGTGCTTGGCCTACAAAGCCACCTGGTAAGATGTGGCTTTTCCTGTTAGCCTGAGCAAATACAAATGGAATGGAGTGTGTTTTCAATTAGTGAGTGTCATGTCAAATGGATTCCCAAGCACCTTCTAACAACGTATTAACTGTTCATTCTGTACCTTTGTAATAGGAATTCCGTAACCTTTTATTCTTTAATTTGCCCTGGTTTAGTAACTTCAAAACATTCAGCTTGGGTAACAAGGTAAGAAAGGACCATCAACATTTTTATACTTAGTGGTGAAGTGATACGTGAAGAACCTGTCGTCATAGATGAAGGACTACCTGTCACCAGGACAGAAGCATAGAATCTCAGAAACGGCAAGGGAAGATCAGCGGGTCTTTGCACCTGCGAATACGTGACACATGTATGTCATTCAGACTTGCTTCAGCCTCGATGTAGGGAAATGATAACTACTTCTCGTGGTGTGTCGTGTGCCGTGCCACCCGGCGCCCGGGGGTCGGTGGGGCGGCGGGGGCTGCACAGCCCGCCGGGCCGGGCCGCGGTGCACGGCGGCGGCGGGGACGCGCGGTGGCGCCTGCGGAGCGCTCAGCGTGGAGCACTGCGGCGGGATCCGGTGCGCTGGCAGCGCTGCGGAGCCCGCAACCGGGGGTGGGGGCAGAGAAACGAAAAGCAGCCCCGACCGCGGAGCTGTCAAGGGGAAAACAAGGCGTTTTAGGGTCGCTCATTCGTCGTCTTCCGGAGTTCTCGCACCATCCCCGCTTATCACCCGATGGCCAGCTCCCGCCTTGGCGGGCATGCCAGGTGCCTCTCGGCACGGTGCCTCCGTCCGCCAGGCGAGGCACACTGTCCGCACAGCCGGCGACGCGCTGCCCATCCCGCGGCGTGCGTGTACGCCGGTATGAGTGTGTGTGTGTGTGTGTACATGTACATGTACGTGCGAGGCTGAAAGCTCAAGTGCAGGCTGCCTATTGGTATCTGCTCTTCGGCACCCTCCCTTTCCCCCGCTCCCCCCTCCTTTCTCCCTTGTCTTTTTTTTCATTTTTATTTCAGGCTCATTTTGTGGAGTTTCTGCCCCTCTCTGCGTCAGCCCCACGTCACTTTGCCGGCAGCTCCCCGTCTTGGGCTGAAGCAGGAGCCGGAGCTGCTTTATTATCAGCTGGAGGGAGGGAGGAGGAGACGGTGCATAAAGCGGCGAGCGCGGAGCTCTGAGCCCCGCCGCCGCCACCGCTCGCTGCGCCTCCGTCGCCGCCCGCTCGCCGTCCCTCCGGCGGTCAGCGGCCGCCCGAGCCCCCGCAGATAGGAGCGCAGCCTCCACCACCTGCCCCCTCCGCCCCGCGCGTTTTGCAGCATCATCGGCAGCAGCCGCGGGGGCAGGCGGTGCCGCTGTCCGCCCGCGGGGCTAGGGGCAGGTGCCGCGCCGCGCCGGAGGCCCCGCTCATCCCTGTCGCCGCGGCGCCCAGCTCCGGCCCCCGCCGCCCCGCGCAGCGCCCGGGGCGGTCAGAGCCGCGGGGCGGCTGAGGCTGCGGCTGCGGCGCGCCCATGTGAGCCCGGCGTGCCCGCCCGCGGCACGGAAGGCTGCGCACCCTCCGGCCGTGCGCCCCGGCAGCGGCGGCGGCGGCGGCGGCGGGAGCTGGAGGAGGCCGTCGGGGCACTGCTGGAGTGAGCATGGTGTCCTGGCGGCGGAGGCCGGGTCCCGGCCTGGCGCAGCTGTGGGGCTTGTGCTGCCTGGTGCTGGGCTGCTGGCCGGCTGCGCTGGGCTGCCCCGCGTCCTGCGGGTGCAGCTCCTGGCGGATCTGGTGCACGGGATCGTCGCCGGGCATCGCTTCCTTTCCCGTGCCGCAGAGGAGCGCTGAGGGCGACAATGTTACCGAGATGTGAGTACGGCCCGGGGCCGGGCGCGGGGGCCACGGGCCGGAGCGGGCGGGGAAAGCTGCGGGCGGGGGAAGCTGCGGGCGGGGGCAGCGGGGAACTGACCCACGCCAGAGGCTTCTGCTCCGCGGGCGGATGTGGTGGCTGGAAGCCTAAAAGCCCCTTGTGATTTTATTTGGACGCGGCTTGCAAGAGCTGCCGCTGCCAGCGCGTTTTACATGATGAATCCTAATTGTTGGGAATGCAGGTCGCGGGGACCGGGGCGGGGGGTCGGCGCCGGCTGCAGCGGGACCACGGTGCAGCCGGGGAGCGGAACGGGGCTGGGGCTTCGCCTCCGACCCTTGCCCCAGCTGCTGCCGCGGGTTGCGCACTGCTCACCCGCACCTCTGCGGCGGCAGCAGGTATGAAACGGAGGGATTTTTCTATTTCTTTTTTTTTTTCTTTATTTACTTTTTTTTTTTACTTCTTTCGTTCCCTGAGCTTATCTCTGCGAACCGAGAGTGTTTGGTGGGTGGCTTGCCCTTCGCCCCAGATTTGTCCTCTTTTATTTCCGTAAAGAAAAAAAAAAAAAAAAAAAAAAAAAAAAAAAAAAAAAAAGAAGAGATGCGGCAGAAAGTGACAGCAAACTGTCTGTCGTACCCTAACCATAGGAATGCGATCCTGCTTTGACCTTCTCAGTGGAGGTGGCTGGAAGGAAAAAACACAAAACCTGCAGAGGAATGAACGTAGTGCTGCTTGTTAGCAATTGGGAAGGAATTAGAGAACCCTAATTAGCCGTGAGGAAAAAAGTTTTTTTCCTCTCATTCTCATGTGGTGCTTCCATCCACGTTGGCCTCGAAGACAGTATTTGATGAGGGAGTTCTGTACCTTTTTGTGTTAAATCCGGCATGGTTTCACAGTTCAGAGCACCAAGGCATTCATGTCCATTGCCTAAGAAAATCTTTTGCAGAGCAAAAAATTTTGGATACTGGATGTGTAGATGATAGAGCTCAGAAAAAACCTTCTCAAGCTTTTTTGTTTATATTTCCCTACCCCTGTGTTTTAATTGCTTTCTGTGGCATTTAATGTAAAAGATACCAGCAAATTTTTCTCAAATCTATACAGATTTCTCACTATTTATATTCTCTATCCTTCTTCTGTTTTTCAGTGTCTTCTAGAAGAAATAAAAAAGTACTGTGAAATACAGTGTGAGTTTAGATTAAATTCTAGCCTTTGGGCTACATTTTTGCAGTTCGTTGAAGTCAATTTGCTGCATTTCCCTGCATTTGCTTGGGGGAAAAGCTGGAGGCATTCATTTCTACTGCTCATGTATGGCCTACCTTTGGGAAATTTTTTAGGACCTATGATACAGAAATGATCTTTCTGAGTTATGACTGTTATTGATTCAGATGTTTTTGTAGATTGCTTAAATATATTTAAAAAATTGCTTTGAGCTATGCATCTCTGATTATTTTTATAGGCTGTGGTAGCCTTTTTATCCAGTGCATTCTGTTTAGAAGTAACAGAGCAATCCTCATCTTGAATTTAATCTCTGGTTTGAAATGCCAGAACAGAAAACACATACTGTAAATATGTTTTTTTCCATGATGAACTAAAATATGTCTAGTCTTTTTACATTGATACTTTCGGCTTTAATTTTTCTGCGTTATTTTAAGCATCATTGTCTTTACAATGCTTTTTGGTTTTTACTGTATCATTCTGTGACATTGCACATTGTTTTGTTTGTTGATCTAAAAATAATTTTGAGTCATGGATTTCTCAGGAGATGCTGTTGCACATATTTAAGATGGTATTTTCTTGTGTGCTTTCAACATAAAACACAAGGACCCTTTAATTAGTTTATAGACAAATTAAAGATTGAACTGCCGTAGCTGTCATGTTATTTCATTGTGTGAGCTCAGTAAACACTAACTACATACAGGAGCAGTTCTAATACAGTTGGTACAGATTGTCAGCGTGTTTATAACACCACAGATCTTGCTTAATTCTAGCTAAGAAACAGGTTTAAGAGACTGAAGTGTTACATTTCACTTGTGGAGCTTCAGGCCTGGTTCTTCTTTTATGTTCTCTGCAGATGCATTCCATTGGTCTCTGGTGGAATTACTCTTGGTATAAATTACATGTAAAAAGTATAAGACAGTTAATTTGAAGAATTTATTCACATGTATTTTATGAGTATCTATTGAAATCAATCCTTCACTTGCTAGTTATGTCCTGGTCTTGACAGGAGTGCATCCTGCAGTCCTAGGCAAAACATCCACAGGCACCTGGGGCATGGATCCTGATTGAGTTCTTTGCCACACATACTGGGAGGGCTGGGATAACTGCACCCTGGGGTGTGTATGTGAAACCCATGGTGGTGCAGAGGATTTGCTATAGGCCAGGTGCATGGCATTGAGCAGGCAGGATGTGAGTGGGAAGCCAGGGTTTTCCACTTGGCTTTAAGAGATGGAAAAAGATGGGATGGTGCAGCAGGAATAACAGAGATGAGGTACCATGTATCTGGCAACCTCCACCACTTACTCTGGTGCTTCACTGTTTTGGTCCACATGGGGGTTGTGCTTTAGAGTTTATAAGCAGTCTCATCCAGTCCAGCTATTTCTTGATTCCTGCTCAGATTCAGCATCCAAATCTATGTAGAGGGTACTTCTGCATCAGCCCTATGAAGGCCAGCTGCTGAAACTTGGTGTGGGAGGGCATAAGAGTATTTATGCCTGGTGCTTTCTTAGTCATCTCTCTCACTCTTTCCCTTCCTGGCTGTTTTTGCATAGTGTTCTACTACAGTAAACAAGACAGATTTTATATTTGCCTGGTTGGTTAAGATGATGGTGTGGGCTGGTCTTTATCTGGAAAACAAGTACTGGTGTTTATCATAACAGACTGTACTTGTAATAATTATTTGGTCACTTTGGTATTATTGGAGATAAACTGAACTCCAGAGTGAGATCCTGAATTAGGATAAATGGTATCAGTTATTGATAAATTAAAAGCTAAGGACCAAGAGTGACAAACGCAAAATTGTTTTATCAGTTTTGTAAAATCCATGCATTGTAGACACAATGGCAAATAAGCAGGCCTTGTTGAGATCACTCATGCAAAAATATTAATAGGATAGTAAATGAGAAATTTTTAGAGTGGTCAGGACTTCTTGTAAAAGGACCACTGTAATATTTTCTCATTAAGGAAAATGTATTGCTGTTGTATCTCAGTGTACATGACTCTTCAAAGACTTTGATTTAAAAGTGATATCTTGCAGTACAAGTATATTCCTGGCCTAGTTTCACAGTTCTACTATCAAGTCATTAATATGTTTACTTATGATTATTCAGGTGGATGAGGTTTGAAATTAATTGGTGTTTTTCAGGAAGAACTGCTTGCCAACAAAATAGTAGGTGACTTTTAAGCTCTTGCCTATTAAAAGAGAGGTGATTGTGTATTGCGTACATTTCAAAACCACAAAATAAATTTCTAATGCAGTTATATAAAGCACTCTAGAATTGTTAATAAGTAAGACAGATAAGTAATTTATAGAGTAAATTATTTAACAAGTCATGTGAGCTTGTGCTAAAAAAAAGAGCATGTTTAAATTCATTGAAGCTAAGAGCTGTTGGTATTTGGAGTAGTTTTTATCCTAGATTTTGAGACTGTTGTAGATTTAATGTCACATAAAACTGTCTACGAGGCTCCTCAGCCTCTAGCCCCTTCCTCCTCAAAGCAACTTCTGCCTGTACACCATTGCATGACTTGGCTGGATTGAGAAGTTATTTCTGGTGACTTGGAATTGTATAATAAAACATGAGACACCAGGCTACAAATTATTAAAGGCGTTTTGGACAGTGGGTGATGTAATATCTTAATTTCAGAATTTGTCCTTTTTTTTTTTTTTTTTAAACTTCTTTTAAAGATCTGGGTAATTGGTTAAGGTGAGTTAAAGGTAAGCACTTTGGAAATCTGTTTTGTAATTTCTAGGCTCTAAAAATATCTAGGATCACAAAGCACTGAATTTTGTATTTGTTTTTTTTTTTTGTATGTCTTGTTGTAGACATTGCCCTTCTGGTTTGTGAGGACTGATGGGGCTCCTGAGGGTTTCCACTGAGGCTATCACAATCGGGCAGACACAAAACAGCTCATGAGGCTGGAAGAGAGCATCATCCTTCAAGAGGCAGTCAGTGTTGGGCAGGGTGGCAGCAACACAGTATCTCCCTCAATCTAGTTGGTCACTCGAGTTTTGAAAAAGGTTTGGGATGTATATACTGAAATGAAAGATTTGGTCTTGAACACATTGTTTTCAAGAAACTTCCATTTCTTTTCCATACTAATGAGAAAATAGGGCTTGGCAGTGCAGCCTGTGATATCTTTAGGATGGCATTTTCCAGATTTCTCAGGTTCTATTTTTTCTTCATTATTTTTATGCTGACAAGTGTAACAGAGAAAGTAGCTTAGTGATATTCTGGATCCCTAATCACTGTAGAGCAAAAAAAAATTACGTAACTGAACATGGGCCTGATTTCTCCATTTTGGTTTTCATTTTTAAGTAAAGAGGAATCCTCTGTCTCCCCTTTTTTTTGGATTGCAGTTCTTTCTCTCATGTTTGTCATCTCTCTCTACACAAATGTCTAAGAGTATGGGCCCTAAGGTGTCATCCAGATATCCTTACCTGAGCAGGAGAAGTATAGCAGGTAATGGAGCAAAGAATTCTAAAACTGCTTCAGTGTGTTGTTGATGTCAGATATTTATTTAGCTTGTTACCACTGAAAAACTGCTCTTTGAAGACTGCCCTTTAAAAAGCAAAGCAGATTGTATAAATTCACTAATTTACATGGATTTCAAATGGAGAGATAAATCCATAGAGATTTGAAAGCTTCTACTGCTTGGGTTGTGAATATGCTTTTTTACAGGATGCTGTTATATTTGTGAAGATCTCTTCATCCAGATATATGTAGTACATCACTGCTGTTAAATTATATATGATCATATATAATTGGGATGCATCTTAATTCCTGGT